CGTGCGGCCCCTCCAGCCGCGCCACCAGCAGCGCGCCCAGCACCAGGTACAGGGCGTACACGGCCAGGGCGCCGGCCAGGAGCGCGCCCCGCCGCATGGCACCCGCAGGGACCGACGCCCGCAGGGACCTGCTCCCCTCACAGCCCCGGGCAGCCCCGCTGACGTGGCCCCAGCCTCCAGACCGTCCGGCGACTAGTTTCAGTTCCGGGAGTGCTGGAGGCGCGGCCGCAGACGCCCCAAAGAGGAAGAGGCAAAAGGGGAGGGGCGGGGATGGAGGAATGGCCCGCCTTCGGGAAACTGAGGCACGCCCAACTGCCAGGTGTTAGTACAGGGCAGAAAAGGTGGAGCTCCCAGACCCAGGAGACCGGCGCGATGCAGAGTGGAGATATTCTCGTCCTTCAATATATCCCCCTCCTCCGTGCTCCTTGTTAGAGTCCAAACTCTCCTTTCTGTCCCCATACCAGGAGTGGCTCCCCGCCTTCTCAGAGGCATTCCGTGGGGCTGCTAAGGTTGTGCATAGCATCCGGGCACGTGGTCGAGCCGAAATCTCGCTCCGTTTGCCAAGTCGCGAACTCTAGGAGTAGGACTGCATCTACCCCACCAGATTAGACAGGGGCGCCTAATTTGCAACAAGCACCGAAACATCAATTGTCCCTGTGAGCTCTTGCCGACAGAGTTGGGGATCCTTAGCTCTTCACCAAATCTTTGCTCAGCGCCCACTTTGTTCCAAATCCTTTGTGGGGTAATGCAGCAGTGGCCAAGACAGTCTTGGGTCCTGCCCTCATGGGGCTTCTAGTCTATCAGGAGAAACAGCCCAACGCCACCGGGGCTATGGCCAGGGAAGCCAAGGGCTGTGGGACTCCAGAGGAGACAGCTAATCCTGCTTAGGGAAGTCAAGAGAAGGGATCTCCAAGTTGAGACATGAAGATCAAGAAGGCAGAATCGGGGGACCAGCAGTTAGAGTAATGTCTATGTCGCTGGACTCCCACGTAGTGGACCCCAGTTCGCGTCCTGGACCCGCTGTCTTAAAACTCACGCCGGGTGCATGCCCAAGATCCCAAGAGGAGAATGGAGGAGAAGAGATTGCGGTGTGGCCATCCCCCCTGGGGGGTGATTTATCGCTTTCTGTCTCTCTGTCTGTCTGGCGAGCACACGCGCCCTATAGCAAACAAACAAACAAACCAAAAAAACACACCCTCTTAAAAAAATGAAAAGAAGGCAGAATGGGGACCAGCAGATGGCATAGTGGTTATGTCCCTGGACTTCCACATGGCCAACTGCCGGTTGAGTCCTACACCTGGTGGCTTGAAAATAACGCCAGGTGCATGTGCGTGTGTGCCAAGATCCCAGGAGGAGAATGGAGGAGAGGGGATGGCAGCATGGCCATGCCCCCTGGAGGATGATTTCTCACTTTCCCTGTTACTATCTCTGTCTCTTTCTCCCTAGAGAGCACACATGCACTAAAGCAAAAATCTCTAAAAATAAATAAATAATAAGAAGAAATAAGAGGGCAGAATCACAAATACAAGGGGTCTTCATAAAGTTCATGGAAAATACATATTATTTAAAAAGATGTGTGGATTTCAAAATTTGCACCAAAATAAGCTCACACTTGAATCGAGTTTTCCCACAGACTTTTGAAGTCCCCTTGTGTATGCCTCTGTTTAAGAGGGAAATTTTCCTTCCATGTTCCTCATATGGGTCTCTCCATATCCCTCTTCATCTGGAACCCAGTACCCTTCTGGCAGCCTTGCTCCCAGCTACCAGGTGTTAGTACAGTCCCGAAAGAACACCCTCAAATTCAACCATGTGTAACTGGCAGAAGAGTGGAACTTGGAGTCCAGCTCAGACAAATCCTAGGTGGTTCTTTTTTTTTTTTTTTTTTTTTTTGGGGGGGTTTTCGTTTTTTTTTTTTTTTGGAGGGATCTTCGCTATAGGGCGTGTGTGCTCACCAGACAGACAGAGAGAGACATAGAGACAAAAAGCGAGAAATCACCACCCAGGGGGGATGGCCACGTTGCAATCTCTTCTCCTCCATTCTCCTCTCAGGATCTTGGGCACGGACACACACGTGCCCAGCATGAATTTTAAGCCACCAGGTCCGGACGCAAACCACAGTCGACTACGTGGGAGTCCAGCGACATAGCCATTACGCTAACTGCTGGTTCCCATTTTTTTAAAAAATTAATTGTCAGAGGGTATCTGCACTCATCAGAGAGACAGAGATAGGAAGAGGGAGGGGGAGAAAGCACCCCTTAACAGGGATGTCACATGCAATCCAATTCCTTTCCCTCTGTTTCTCCATCCTACTGGGATTTGCAGCATGCATGTGCCCTCCAGGCTAGGATTCAAGCCACATGGTTGGCCAGATCCAGCTTCCTATGGCTAGCCTACCACTAGGCTATGTGGGTGATACAGGGGATGTGGCAGTGCCCCAGCTGATTCTATTTATAAACCTGTGGGCCTTCTTGGGGCAGAACCCAACTTGGGGCTGCCAATCTACAGGAAGAGCTAGGCAGTAAAAGTATTAATAGCTGCCCGGGATCAGAAGTTTACTGTATGCCAGACCCTGAAGACACATGTGTTTGCACTGAGACCTCAACCCCGCCCATATAATTCCCATTGACCAGATGAGAACGTTTAGGCTTAGAAGCTGAGTAACCACAGAGGTTAACATGAGGCAAACAGGAAGCCAAAATACTTTTTTTGTTGGGGCTGGCAAGTGGCATGGTGGCCGACCACAGTTTGTAGTACCAGACCTCATGGCTTCCTTTCTCACTTTCCCTCTCTCTCTTCTTTCTCTCTATCCCTCTCTGGTCAAATTAAAATAAGGAAATAAATAAAGTCAATAAAATAATTCTTTAAAAATATTTGCTTTGTTAATAATAATAATAAATTATTTATTTATTTATTTTTTGAGAGAGATTTTCACTGTAGGGCGCGTGCGCTCGCCAGACAGAGAGAGACATAGAGACAGAAAGCGAGAAATCACCCCCCAGGGGGGATGGTCACGCCGCAATCCCTTCTCCTCCATTCTCCTCTCGGGATCTTGGGCACGCACGCACATGCGCCCGGCGTGAGTTTTAAGCCACCGGGTCCGGGACACGAACCGCGGTCGACTACGTGGGAGTCCAGCGACATAGCCATTACACTAACTGCTGGTTCCCAATAATAATAATAAATTTCACAAAAGAGGTGAATCTAGAAGCAAGAGGGAGGGCTGATGATGAACAGAAAATGGGGAAATACATGCTACAATAAAACGAAGGTGAAAAAAAAGAATGGGGGCATCTTACTCCCAAAAGAAGACTGCAACTATAGCCAGTACTGAGAAACCAGGAGTAGCCCTCAAGGTCCCCAGAGAAGACAATGTCTCAGAGAAGGAAGGGGAAGCCACAAAGATAAGGTCACTTGCTAACATTCTTCCGGAGTGCTATCAATGCCCAGAAGTCACTTCCACACTTGCTTTGCAGCTTAGTTATCATGGCTCTTGACTTGTAGGTGCACCTAGGCTCGGAGGGGGGCGGGGAGGAGGTTTATAGGGATTTGAGTGGGCAGAGGAAATCAGGTTGCACCATGAGAACACTTTTATGAATTCCTGAGATATCATAAAGATATTTCCCAAGAAAGATACCTGGTTTAGGGGCCAGCAGATGGTGTAGCAGTTACATCACTGGATGTATATGTGGGCATGGGCGACTGCAGTTCGAGTCCAAGACCTGGTGGCTTAAAACTCCCACCAAGCGCTGTGCATGCCTGCCCAAGATCTTCAGAAGAGAATGAAGAAGGGATTGTTGCATGGCTAGCTCCCCTGCGAGGTGATTTCTGACTTTCTCTCTCACTGTCTCAGTCTTTGTCTCTGTCCAGCGAGTACACGCACCCTAAGACAAAACCCTCTTTAAAAAAACAGTACCTGGTGGGACCAACAGTTAGTGTAATGGCTATGTCGCTGGACTCCCATGTAGTCAACCGCGGTTCAAGTCCTGGACCTGGTGGCTTAAAACTCACGCCGGGCACACGTGCGTGCCCAAGGTCCCGAGAGGAGAATGGAGGAGAAGAGATTGCGGCGTGGCCATCCCCCCTGGGGGGGATTTCTCTCTTTCTGTCTCTCTGCCTCTCTCTGTCTGTCTGGCGCGCGCACGCGCCCTATAGCGGAAACCTCTCAAAAACAAAACAAAACAAGAAAAACAGTATCTGGTTTCTCTCACTTAATTAGGTGTGTTTTTCTCACTCTAAATATGCAGGGTTTTGTTGTTGTTGTTGCTCTTAATTTTGGCTACAGGGAGCATGCATTTGCTGGAGAGGGGAGGGAATGAGAACGCATCCCCCCCAGTAGGAATGGCCATGCCACAATCCCTTCTCTTCAACAGTCCGCGCCAGACTTTGGGCACACACGCACACGCACACGCACCTCGTGTGTAGGACTGGAACTGTGCGGCCACGTGGGATCACGGTCTTAACCACCGTGCCACCTCCTGGCCCCTTAGATCCGCCGCACAACTCCGATTAGCCCTTTGAGAACACTCTCCACTCTGCCCTGGCTCCCAAGCGACGCAAACTAAGAGCCCGGTTGTAGAGCACTTCATTTCCCATCAGCCTCTTCGCCCGTCGCCTATTTTTTCCGTCATTCGCGGCACCGCCTACTCCTACGCTTGCTCCCGGCCCCGCCCCCCTGCCCCTCGGGTCCAGACTGTCGCCTTAAGTCACGAGTCCCGGTCTCCGCCTCATAAGTTACCGCCCCACTCGTCCAGGCCTCCATAAACGGGCGTGGCCCTAAGCAATCGTGACGCCTATTGGCTGTCGCATCAC